ACTATTATTTATATCCTAATAGGTCAAAGTTATTGCATCCACGAAACAAGAATGCTATTTATAAAATTAGATGATAAAACGTCTTTGAAAATTAAAAATATGGCCATAGAAATACAATCCCCACAGCAATGTCTACTGATAGAGTTGAAGAAATCTCCCAGAAAAATATAACAAAAAAGACAAAGCTACACAGAATATAGGAAGAAAAAAATGGGATATCATATTGGGAAGTTCAGCATCTGAATAACAAGTTTCAGGAAGAGAGAAATGAAGAAAATAGAGGAAGGGAAATCATCAAAGAAACAATTCAAGAAAATTTTCCAAAACAAAGAAACATGACACATGAATTTCTAGATTGAAAGAGCCTGAGTGCCCAGCACATTGGAGGAAAAACAAAACAAAATACCACCACTAAATGTTATTTATACCCAGCAAATGTTATATCCATCAGATATTATATACACCAAATGTTTTAGAACATTGAGGATAGGAAAACATTCAAAAAGCTTCCAGAGAGAAACAACAGTCTCAGACAAAGAATTAAGAATTAGAATGACATTGGATTTCTAAACAGTAATGATATGAGCTAGAAAACAACAGATAAATGCAAAGAATAAATTTTTGAGGGAAAAATTGTTTTAACCTGTAATTAAAGACCCAGATGCACCATCAAATCATGTGTGCAAGTGGAATAAAAACATTTCTAGTCACACGAGATCTCAGAAACTTAGCTCTTCTGTGCCTCCTTTCTCAGGAAGCTACTGCAGGATGTGCTCCACCAAAATGAGGGAGTTGCCAAGAAAAATTACATGGGATTCAGAAAACAAGGAATCAACATAGGAGAGAAATAAAAGGAATTCCCAGGAAGTGGATGGACAGTAACAATCATGCTAACAGGCAGCCAGTCCAGACTGCAGTGGGAGAACAGAGACTCTGGAGAAATGCCATCAAGAAGCTGAAATTAAAAGCTGTCAGAAAGAGATCTGCATATAAGGCAGAATAGTTGGGGATAACTTAGTGAATGATACGTAGAAAATAGAAGACAGTAATTTACTACAGGAAAAACAAAAAAAAAATTCTAAGAAAGGAAATTCAATCACACAATATGGCTTAACTTTGAGTAGTGTTTCATAGTCATAGTAATATAAACACATACTGGCCAAATTTTAAAATTCTGACATGACTGTATTAGGAAGAGGAAGGGTATGTATCCACATGTGAGTATGGAGTAAACGATGTGAGTGAGAACTAAATCTTCATCTTCCTGGTGGAACATTAGCAGGTTAAAAAATGCCTGTCCCAGACTTTTTTAAATTGGTGCCTTTCAAATTGGTGGTTCATTCCTGTAATCCTAACACTTTATGAGGCTGAGGCAGTTGAGCCCAGGAGTTGAAGACCAGCTTTGGCAACATAGTGAGACCCTGTCTCTATAAAATAAAATAAAAAGGCAAAAATTAGCCAGGCATGGTGGTGTGTGCCTACAGTCTCAGCTGCTCAGGAGGCTGAAGGGAGAGGATCACTGCAGCAAGCCTCAACCTGGGCAACAGAGCATGAGCCTGTTTCAAAACAGAAAGCAAAACAAAACAAATCCCCCCACAAAAATGCTTGGACTTGGACAATCAGGAAGTAGCAGTATATGCATGTTATTTCAAGAAAGGTAAAGGCAGTGGGCGTGGTGGCTTATGCTTCTAATCCCAGCATTTTTGGAGGCCGAGGCGGGCGGATTGCTTGAGGTCAGGAGTTTGAGACAAGCCTGGTCAACATGGTGAAACCCCGTCTCTACTAAAAATACAAAAATTAGCTGGGCATGGTAGCAAGCAGCTGTAATTCCAGCTACTAGGGAGGCTGAGGCAGGAGAATCGCTTGAACCTGGGATGCAGAGGTTGCAGTGAGCCAGGATCGTGCCACTGCACTGCAGCCTGGGTGACAGCGCAAGACTCCTCTCAAACAAACAAACAAAAACAAACCAAAAAAGAAAGAAAGGTAAAGGCATACCGAAAGGCAAGGATAACATATTCGGAAGTGGTAACTGCTTCCTGGAGGAGGGAAGAACACTAGGGGTGGTATGGGAAATGAGGGGAGGGAACTGCAACTTCTTTGTCTTAAGCCTTGTAGAACTGTTTTTTGTTTTTTTTTGTTTTTTTTTTTCTGAGATGGAGTTTTGCTCTGTTGCCCAGGCTGGAGTGCAGTGGTGCAATCTCAGCTCACTGCAATCTCCACCTCCCAGGTTCAAGCAATTCTCCTGCCTCAGCCTCCTGAGTAGCTAGGATTACAGGCACACGCCACACGCCCGGCTAATTTTTGTATTTTTAGTAGAGACAGGGTTTCACCATGTTGGTCAGGCTGGTCTCGAACTCCTGATCTCGTGATCCACCCACCTGGGTCTCCCAAAGTGCTGGGATTACAAGCGTGAGCCACTGCGCCCGGCCTCTTTTTTTTCTTTTTTTTTTTTTTTGAGACGTAGTCTCGCTCTGTCACCCAGGCTGGAGTGCAGTGGTGTGATCTCGGCTCACTGCAAGCTCCACCTCCTGGGTTCACGCCATTCCCCTGCCTCAGCCTCCCGAGTAGCTGGGACTACAGGTACCCGCCACCAAGCCCGGCTAATTTTTTGTATTTTTAGTAGAGACGGGGTTTCACCGAGTTAGCCAGGAATTTTGTGTATTTTTAGTAGAGGCAGGGTTTCACCATATTGGCCAGGCTGGTCTTGAGCTCCCAACCCCTCAGGTGATCCACCGAATTTGGCCTCCCAAAATGCTGGGATTATAGGCATGAGCCCCATGCCTGGCCAGTTTCACAGGTGTTGATATTTCCTCCATTTATGACAAATAGAATTGCTTCCTTTCAACTTCATCTGTAAGGGCTCTGAGGAGAATCTCTTCTATATATTTAATCTATGAATGGCTGTGTTACCTGCTAAGATTTCATTTTTTCTTGTAGGACATTTTATTGCACCATTTTAAAATACTGGAAAATATTCTTAAAAAATAGCCTTAGTTTTGAAAAATCATGTTTTAGTTGGAACAATATAAACATAAACTGTATCATGAAACTGTGCTGTGAAAATCCTCCTTTTCTAAATATTATTCTTGTGTCAAAACTATTAATATTCTTATAATGGGTCCTGGATGAATCTACAAAATGTTTTATTCAAGGTCCTTGAAATGACCTTGAATTGCTCTCCCAATACTGTCATTACACAAAGGAGAGAAGAAGCTAATAAGTTGTATGCATGTCTTAGGCACGCCTTTCAAATCGGTGCAAAAATCATGTGAAGTAAAATACATATCATAGTCATGAAAACGCAACTTCCACATGGCGGCTGGGCCAGTCTCTAAAACACAACTCTAACACAATCACTCTCCAGATCAAAAGCCCCTGGGTTCCCTGTTGCCCGGCATGAGGAGTAAGCCCAACCCATGGGCCTGCCATCATGGTGCCGGGTCAACCTTGCTAGCGTGGGATCTGTCACGTCCGTCCATGCCTCAGCCTACTTGCCTGTGAAGTGAAGCACTTGCCGTACTCTGGGTCTGCCTCACTCTTTCCATCACACATCTTAAGTGTCCCTTCCCGCTGCTCCACATTTCCCAGGTCACCACCTCTCAAGTTCATCTCAAATGCCAGTGTTCTGGGAGCCGGCTCTTCCCTCCCTGCCATAGGCCCTATCTCCCTCCTCTGAACGCCTCAGTACCTAGTACTTATCGAGGTCTGTGGCAGTCCTCTGTGGCCTTGCCTAGTTCACCTACTGAGCTCTGCACTCCCTGAGAACAGAGATCGGATCCCTCCTGGATGCTCTGTAATGAGGAAACAGATTTGACTTGAAGACATAGCCTTATGCCTGTTTCAAGGCTCCTGTAACTTTTCACGAAGGCTGCGATGCTCTGCCTCTGCGTCCTGGGCAGTGCGCCAGCAAACTGCATTCCTAATTACATAACAGTATTCAAATGCATGTCAGTATGAAAAGAGGAATCAACTCTATTTTATATCTTTTTTTTAAAACAGGAAAGCTTTTTTCTGATCACTGGACTACTTTCCATTTTAAGCTAATTAGTAAATTGCATTTTTGGCTCTTTAACTGGCTAGGTTAAATTTAGCTCATCTTTTCCCTTAAAGTCAAGCTGTCAGTGGGTTTTGCAATTAAAATTTCCACTCTCAACTTTCATTCTCATTCAAGAGGATGCTGGCAAGCTACCCCCTCCTTCTGCCCTTCCTTCCTTAAGCTTCTCCCCTACTCAAGGCTTCACACGGACATGGGAAAATGGCCCCTTACCCCTAGGGCTGCAGGGCACTACAAGCATGGCCCTCACCAGCAGGCGGGGCATCCGCTCAAGGGTGCACACGTCGCTTAGCCGTGCCACTGAGCACCCAGCCTATCCCAGTGGAGCTATTGAAAATATGCAGCATCCTATGTGGCCAGGGCTAGAGCAGGGGCTTGGAGGGCCCCTGCCGGGCCAAGCATGAACCCTTGAGTGGGTGGGTATGGGGAGGTCTGAGGAGTCCCAGAGGAGGGGGGAGGGGGAAGGAAAAAGGGTACACTCGGGAGGCATCGAGGATAGGGCAACATTACAGAAATACTGGGCATTACAGAAACGTTTGCATCTTTTAACAATTGCCATGGTCAAACCAGGGTATTCCAGCTGACTCTGGGCCCTGCCAGGCCCCAGAGGTGCCTAAGAACAGCATGGTGAGGAGCGTGGATGTGGGTTAGGGTGGAGGTCACAAGGCCACCCTGTCGCTGTGACCAGAGTCATTCTAGAGCCCGGGAAAGTTCCCCCATGCCTGGACTCCTGCTTCTCATCTCCAACCCCTCTGCTCTTTGCTTGGAGCTCTCTGTCATCCTCCCTCCTTCCCTGACTCCCCTGGAGTCCTGCCAAGGGCTCTTCTCCTGACCCAGGCTCTTTCTGCCCACCCCCAAGTGTGGTTCAGAGACCCCCCACGCCTGGCCCAGTACCCCAGCCCCTCAGTAGGACAGACTGAGGGAGGGAGTGGGGGAAGATGCTCACCCAGCTGTCGTGAAGCAGAAGACAAGAGGCCAGGCCTCCCCTGTGAGAGCCGCCCAGCTGCCCCTCCTCCAAGGGGAGATGGGGAGGCAGAGGCTGGCTTTATGAGCGGAGCGCTGGTATCCCACTTCCCTCGTGGCCATTAAGCAAGATGGGCTGGGGCTTTCCAAGAAGAGAGAAGGAGGCATCCATTATGCAGGCTCTAATGAGTCTCAGGTCCCAGGTCTCTGAGGACGTGGGAAGGGCCAGGGACGGGAAGCGTTGCCCACCTCAGCCTGGCTGCTCCTCTTCCTATCCAGGCTCCTGCTTTCTGCCACAAGATCCTGCGCATCTGGCTGATGGCAAGTAGGGCAGACGGGGCGCCCCAGGGGGACGGCTGCAGTTAGTGAAATGAGCTCCGTGACCTGGGAGTTCTGCAGAGCGCAGAGGGGATCCGGAAGCAAGTGCCTGCCTCTTTGTAGTCAGACGGCATTTTGATGGAGAATTGCCTGGGGGAGAACGGGAAAACCTTTCTCCTCTTCCAGCGGCAGGTCCTGGGCAACGTCCACCCCTCTCTGGGCCTGAGGCAGGTAGATTCTGGGACCTCCTGGGGTCTTTGCAGCCTGGGCTCCAGTGGCCCTAGCTGTGCGGGAGGCTCCCCAGTGCCTGTCTACGGAATAGTGAGGAAAATGTAGAGGGAGTTTGTCATGAAATAAAATGTATTTTAATTTCAGAACTTCGGCTTATTCTGAGATTGTGCATCTGGCATTGGTGATAAAATAGCCTTGCTTTTATGAAATAATGATGGCCAGAGTAGATGGTCATTACTTTTGAGTGTATTTATTTACCAAAACAAAAAGTTGGCATGTGCAGGGTGTGTGGGGAGGTGTGAAAGTCTGTGAGTCATTGTTTAGCCCCGAGGCCTGAGCCCTGAAGGACTGTGGGCTTTGGTGGCCGTAAGCCTCAGAGGGGTGTGGAGGAGAGAACACAGTCACGCACCCCATCTGTAGGAACCTTTCTGTGGGGATGGCCTGTGACCGCTCTGCACCCAGGATGTTCAAGATGCAAAGCCTTCTGAACCATGGACAGGGAAGGGAGAAAGTCTTGTATTTTATTCGTTCAAGGTGCTCTTACAGTCACAGAACCTGCTCCTTGTCTGCCAAGCATCAGAGCACCATGGGTCAGACAGTGGGTTGTGACCCACTAATGGGTCATAAAATCAATTTAGCAGGGACTGAGACGAGCATTGTTCAAATGAAATGTGAAATATAGCAGAAAATATGAGAATTATGTTAATGCTATATGTAGATATGAAATAAAGCAAGTATTGATTCATGAACCATTTGCTCGACTTCTAGTATAAAGCAATAAAAGTCCTAAAAAACTCCTGCAGACAACACAAATGCTACACAAAATAATACAAAACAAAGCCTGGAGGGCTTTGGAGAGTTGACAAAAGCAGGCAGGCTTTGGAGCAATGTCCAAACCTAGGGAGAGGAATCACCCCACAGGGGTGAGTTTCGCATTTTCACAGCTCTGTCTTAAGCGCAGCCCCATGTGTGGTGGTGGCACGAGGTGACCACGTCCCAGTAGAAAATCTGTTGTCTGGACAGAGGAAGCAAGAGAAGAAGCCCTGGACAACCATGGTTATTAGAGAATGGGGAGAAACCCAAGAAAAGAGGTAGCCAGAGAAGGGAAACCCCAAATTTAGCATGTAAACTCTGCCCAACTCTCTGGCTCCCAAACACACAGCTTGCAAGGCATATTAAAAGCAGTCTGGGCGAGCAAAGTGGCTCAAGCCTGTAATCCCAGCACTTTGGGCAGCCGAGGTGGGCGGATCATGAGGTCAGGAGATTGAGACCATCCTGGCTAATACGGTGAAACCCCGTCTCTACTAAAAAATACAAAAAACTAGCCAGGCAAGGTGTCGGGCGCCTGTAGTCCCAGCTACTCTGGAGGCTGAGGCAGGAGAATGGCGTAAACTCGGGAGGCGGAGCTTGCAGTGAGCTGAGATCCGGCCACTGCACTCCAGCCTGGGCGACAGAGCGAGACTCCGTCTCAAAAAATAAATAAATAAATAAATAAATAAATAAAAGCAGTCTGAACTGAGGGCTGAGCCCCCGCTCACCACAACTGTCACAAAGTTTGAAGTGTGAGTCTAACCAAGTTAATTGTCTGCTGAAACAACCACATCAACACTCTTAAACAATATGACACAATCCAGAGTGTACAGCACGGACCAATCACAACATCCAGGATACAATCCGAAATTACTCAACTTACAAAGAGCCAGAAAAATGCAACCCATTCTCAAGAAAACAGTCAATCGACACATACCAATCCTAAAATAACTCAGATACTGAAAAGATTAGACAAGAACTTTAAAGCAACTGTTATAACAATATTCAATGAAGCAATGAAAACTGTGTTGTAATAAAAGGTATGACATAGCCGAGAAACAGAAAATATGAAAAGGAACCAACTGGCAGCATTGTTTTTTGTTTTGTTGTTTGTTTGTTTTGTTTTTTGTTAGTTTTGAGACAGGGTTTCACTGTGTCATCCAGGCTGAAGTATGGTGGCGTGATCATGGTTCACTGTAGCCTCAATCCCCCAGACTCAAATGATCCTCCCACCTCAGCCTTCCAGGTAGCTGGGACTACAGGCACACACTACCATGCCTGGCTAATTTTTGTATCTTTTGTGGAGATGGGGTTTCACCATGTTGCCCAGGCTGGTCTCAAATTCCTGGGCTTAAGTGACCCACCTGCCTCAGACTCTCAAAGTGCTAGGATTATAGGTGTGAGCCATGGCGCCCAGCCTGGCAGAATTATTTGTAATAGCCAAAAAAAATGGAAACAATCCACGTCTCTTAACTGACGAATGATTAGGCAAATGTGGTATATCCACGCGATGAGCTGTTACTCGGTCATAAAAGGAGTGAAGTACTCATACAGGCGTCAACACGGATGAACCTTGAAAACGTTATGTTAAGTGAAAGAAGCCACATACAAGTGACCATAATCCCATTTATAAGAAACGTCCAGAATAGGCAAAACCATAGAGACAGAAAGTAGATTAATGGCTGCCCAGAGACCGAGGGGAAGGGAAGATAAGGACCAATTGCTAATGGGTATGGGGTCTCTTTTCAGGGTGATGAAAAATATGCTCGAATAAATAAAAAGGCAAGACATCTCAGCCATTGACTCTGCAAAATTCAGCATCTAGTGGGTGAGACAGATACTGATCATTATAATATCAGTGGAAACTGCTGCAAGGAAGAGTAAGAAAGGGAAGAAATTAATGTTTCTTGAGCACCTACTATGTTCAAGGCCCTGTGCTCAGCATATTACACAGTTCAATAATTCTTGTTACTTCGTCAGGTTATAGTAACATCCCTGTTTTACAATTGGAGAAAATGAGGCCCAGGGAGGTAAAGTAACTGAGCTAATACTATGGACTGAACATTTGTTCCTCCCAAAATTCATGTGTTGAAATGCTAACCCCCAATGATGGTATTTTGAGGTGAGCCTTTGGGAGGTGATTAGATCGTAAGAGTGGAACTCACATGAATTAATTCATTTCCTTAAAAAAAGACATGATCTCTCTTCATGCAGGTCAAAATAAAAAAGATAGATAGATAGATAGATAGATAGATAGATAGATAGATAGATAGACAGACAGATAGATAGATAGATATAAAATTTTTAAAAAGACATGAGAGCTTGCTTTGTCTCTCTTTGCTTTCCACCATGTAAGAATACAACAAGAAGACAGTTGTCTGTGAACCAGGATGAGAGCCCTCCCCAGACACCAGATCTGCCAGCGCCTTGATCTTGGACTTCCCAGCCTCCAGAACTGTGAGCAATAAATGTCTCCTGTTTAATCCATCAAGTCTATGATATTCTTTTATAGTAACCCAAACTGACAAACGCAACTCTGATGATCGTAGGAGGACACAGGAGGGTCATTCCATTATCTTAGAGGAAATGGTGACGAATGGTACAAAGGTTAAGTGTCACCAAAACCCGGTGGACAAGGAGAGAAAAGCAAAGTGAGCAAAGTAAAGAGGCAGGAACGTTTGTGCGTGGCATGTGTGGGCCATCAGGTGGCTGGAACTTGCAGGGGACAGCAGGGACTGGTGGGGAATGTAGTTGGAGGGGTGAACCGGGCCAGACCAAGCTCAGCAGAACCCATTTCTATTCCCAGGAAAAGGAAGAAAGAGGAGCAAGAACAAGACAAGGAGTGTCTGCAGGCACTGCTTGCTGCCCACTCCTCAGCCAGCTCCTCATAGGAATGTAGCCTGAGAAGAATTGTCCCTACATTTAAATGGTGTCCTGAGAAAACCTGAGCATTAAAGGCAGGTACATCTGGAAGACACCATGACATTTGTCCTGATGTGACTGATTTCTTAAGTGTAGAGGCAAGTACTGCAGAGACTTGATCGTGACCATCACCCTGAACTAGTTGTCAGGCCTCAGAAAGAAGTGAAGTCAGATTGTCAAACCATCAAAATTGACCTGTCTGCTCTAAATGCATGGCCTGGGGGAGAATGGGATCCCTGGAAATGGAGAGGAGCTTGTTTCCCTGCCCACTGTGAGGGAGGCCAAGGTGACTCAGTGCTGGGGCCAGCACTGCCTACTGAGGACAAGCCTCGAGGGACAGTGTGCTTCCACTTCCAAAGGGGCCACCTCCTGCTGGTGCCCTCGGTGGGGATCCTGTGACCGGAGAAAATGATCCTTGGGATGGTGCTCCCTGTCTGTGTGCTGACACCCCAGCTCCCTGAGCGCTCAGCACCTGCTGTGAAACCCCAAGTGGGCTGACTTGACCAAGGAGATGGCCACGCTGCTCCCTTGCTGCATCTCAGCAGAGTCACGAGCAAATGTGGGGCTTGGAGGCTGGCTGAGAAAGGAGGACCAGACAGGGAGCCTTCCAGTTAGTTCCCCTACTAAGTAGAGGGGTCTGTAGTTCTTGGTAACCTCAAACCCACATCAAAACCACCAATCAATACCAGTTTGGGTCGCCCTGGAGCCCCAAACTGCTGACAAAAAGAATATACAATCAGGCCGGGAGTGGTGGTTCATGCCTGTAATTCCAGCACTTTGGGAGGCCAAGGCAGGCGGATCACCTGAGGTCAGGAGTTTGAGACCAGCATGGCCAACATGGTGAAACAGCAACTCTACTAAAAATACAAAAATTAGACAGGCATGGTGGCAGATGCCTGTAATCCCAGCTACTCAGGAGGCTGAGGCAGAAGAATCACTTGAACCTGGGAGGCAGAGGTTGCAGTGAGCCGAGATTGTGCCACTGCCCTCCAGCCTGGGTGACAAAGGGAGACTCCATCTGAGAGGAAAAAAAAAAAAAAAAAAGAAGACCACAGAAGCAGCCGTGGGGATTGTTGGAATGCATCTCTACCTTCCCCTTTCCCCAGCTGTTCTGGTGCCTGTGTCACACAGTCGAAGCTCTGCCCATCTTTGTGCCCAGTAATCCCGTGCTGTCACAGAAATGGCCATTCCTGGCCCTGGGCCTGTCTGCCTTACCCCCGCCTCCTCCCTTTGCTATACTCCAGCCATGTGGAGTGACTGATAGTTCCGTGAGCCATATCGTGCTGCTCTGTATCTCTGCACCTATATCCGAGTTCCTTTGGCAATTTTGGACCCTCTTCCTTCTAGGCAGCTCCATCAACCCTACAATCCTTCCTGCCACAGACGTCACCACCCCAGCTCAGACGGCGGCTCCGTGAGACCCTCAGAGACCCGATCTCACCACTCCACCATGAAGAATGAGTTCCTCTCTCCTCTGGGTCACGTCTAAGAACAGCACACCTTTGAGAATTTCACTTAGCACATGGCATTGTAATGGCCGGATTTCCTCCGCTCTGAGACACGCTTCTTTGCTTTCGAAGCTTTTTGGAATTGGGATGAATCTTACATTCAATGTGCACCCTCAGTGTGGGAGCACTCCTCCATGCCCCATCTCTGGGAGAGGCTACTGGGAAGTCAAAGGAGTGACTTCAAATCTGGATGACTCGGCTCCTTCCACCTGATTTACCCTGTGTCCCCCAGCCCAATGCAGATGGGACCT